CAAAAACTCCGGCGTTCGGCAACTTTCATCGACCCAAATACAAAAACAGCATTTCATCAAAAACTGTCGAAATCAAAAAACAGCCTTGAGGCTGTTTTTCAACCCAAAAACTCTTTTTGGACCCTCACCTCCATCTTTGCCCTTCACCTCCAATCGACTCTCTCTCTCTCTCTCTTTCCATGACCTTTTATTTCCTTCACACACTTCCGTTGCTCAGCTTCGTTTCGATCTTCTGTCATTGTTCTTTTTCTATTGTTCACCCTTTCAATCACTGATCAGCTTCCTCTATCTCCTATACGCCATCTTTTTATTGTGATTGTGCCGTCTTCCACCATCGCCTTCCTGAACAAACATCTTCAGTTCTTCTATCCTTGCTTTTGCGCTATTCAACCGTCATCTTCAGTTCTATCACTGCCATCTATCACTCTTGTCTTCTAGTTCTATCATTCTCGTCTTATCAGTTTCAATCAATCACCGTCGTATTGTTTTCGTCACCCTTGTGTTATCAGTAGACCGATATGTCTACCACCGACAAACCCAAAGCCAAAGCCAAACGACCGCGAGCTCCCAGAGCCGCTTGACCTCTAGTCCATTCACCGACCACTCTAGATCCGAGTACTTCAATCTCATTGGCTGCTCCAACTGCTTTGAACCCTCTGATTGCCGAGACCCCAACCAAGGCCCAATGGGACGATGACAACAACGCCATTTTCATCGAGGCCCTGACTGCTGAACGTCAGCCTGCCAACGCAGCGATTGGACCTCAAAACGCTACTACGGCGCATGGATTCAAATCTGCGACTTGGACTGAAGTCAAAACTAAACTCAAAGGAACTGAAAGGAAGAAGATTCCTGGTAGTGATTTAGTTACTGTTAGTGGAGCCAAGACCGTGAAAGCTTGTAAGACTCACTGGTATGCTGTAAGTATTTCTTTTTCTATCTTTTTCTATCTTTTTCTATCTTTCTTTATTGTCTTTTATTGTTTTTTTATTGATGTTGTTCCTCTTACAGTTATCAAAACTTTACACCGATTACAAACACCTCAATGGCCTCAGTGGTGCAGGATGGAAGGATGGCTGCATTGACCTACCTGATGAAGTCTGGGCGCCAATTCTAGCTGATAAAGTAAGTTTCCTTTTTTTTACTTTTGCTTTTCATATATACTGACTTCTTTGTCTCTTGAAGAAGAGTGCAATGGCCAAAGACTACGCTTGGTTGAAAGGACGCCCATTTCCCCTCTTCGATGCCATTGGGACCTTAGTCGAAGGCCACAAGGCTACGGGCAAGTATGTTACGGGTTCGATCAAACCCGCTATGTCTTCGACTTTGATTGTCAATAACACCCTAGCTTTGACTTCAATTGTCGATAACACCCTAACTTCGACTTCACTTGTTGATAAACCTGTTCTGGCTTCGACTTCCACTAGCCCGATTATCAATACAACCAAGGTCCCATCCCCTTTTGCTGACCAAGCCAACGATCCTTTTGATCGTGGCTTCTCTTCTTCACCACCTGGACATCATCCCTCCCCCAAATCGCCTCCTTCTGACACATCTGATTCACCTGAGGCCAACTTTAAACCCAAGGACGACACGGATTCTGATGAACCTTCAGCAGCGAAGCGACACCGCAAGTCGAAGGTAGCTTTAGCTGCTCGAGCTCCGACTAAATCAAAGAAACAATTGGGTATACAAATTCTTGATGGGATGTCAACTGATATGAAGGAGTTTGGCTCCAATATCCAAAGTTCCTTTGCTTCCACTTCAGCATCGATTGACCATGCAGCTAACACGATTCAATCTGACAAGCCTTCAACTCACGCTTCAGCTGTTGCTTTAATTTACAAATCATCCCTCGAAAATACTCAACGCTACATTGCTTTAGATCTATTCGTTGAAAAGCCTCTCATTGCTGAAACTTATCTCAATACACCAGCTCGTGATCCAATACACACTGACTGATCATGATTATTCTTTTCATCATCTATCATCTATGTGTATATGCATCCAATACACACTGACTGATCATGATTATTCTTTTCATCATCTATCATCTATGTGTAGACTACAAATGAAATTATAGTAGCTGTGTGATCTTAAGTATAAAATCAATTAAAACTTTTAAATAAAAAAATAGTAGCTGTTGACCTTTAGTTTAAAACCAATTAAATCTTTAAATAAAAAAATAGTGACTGTTGATCTTTAGTATTTAAACCTTTAAATAAAAAAAATAGTGACTGTTGATCTTTAGTATTAAATCAAATAAACCTTTTAAATAAAATGTTGTTAACTACAGTTGTATAAATACACGCTGATACAAATGTAGTACTGACTGTATGGATTTTAAGTGATTGCAATGTTAACCAGTATAAGTGCCAGTATGATATGAAAGATTCAAGTGAATCTATGAGTTGAGAGGAACTGGCATAAAACAAATAGTTACAAAATATTTGATTAATGAATGCAAAATAAAAATACTTATAAGTGAGACTTGTAATACATGTAAGATAAAAATAGTTATGATACTTGTGATAAATGATACATTTATGAATTAAAAATACTTTAATGAGAGTTGCCAAATAAGAATCACAATAGCTACATATGCTTTAAAGATCAGGAAACGTAAGAGGTTGCCGATGTTTTCGGTTATTTTTATTTATATTTTCTCTTCTTGCAATCTCTTTCTGATAATCTACCCACATGTCTTCTGCAATTTGATCTCTGAGTTGTTTAGCTTAGTTATTACCATCAACATTACTACCAAATTCTTGAAGATAACCAGATTGTTCTTGAGTAGGCGCTTGCGTATTATCTCGAGGGTCGGGAATGAATCCTTCTCCGAATTGAGGGAATTCTTCAGCTGAACCTTTCGGATCTTTAACACGAATGAAGTTGTGAATGAAGCACATAACAGTAACCATTGAAATTTGAATCTTGATGGTGTATTCACACCCATGCGCCATGATCTTAAAGCGCTTCTTGCAAACTCCAAAGATACGCTCAATGATGTTACGTGCACTAGCGTGTCGAAGATTGAATAGTTCTTCTTTATTCATTGGTCTAAGATGAAAAGATAGGAGTGGTGAGAAGAAGAAAGACAAACACAAGTATGAGATTGATGACCAAAAAGTTGAGCAAAGAAACAAACTCACTTGAAACCTTTTTTTTCCCACTCTCGTAAATGATAACGGACTTTTCGATAAGGAACAATACAATCTTCGGTGAGAGCAAAGCCAGCGTCACCAAGATAATACTTTCCAGCTGGAATCGTAAGATCGCGACTTCAAGCCAAAGTCCAAAGAGCCCCGTCGGCCATACTTCCTTCAGCTCCGACTAATAGATAAATAAACTCCATATTGAAATTACACGCAGCAAGGACATTTTGAGATGTATAGCCTTTACGATTAGAGAAAGGAATATATTCAGAAGCTGGCGGAGTGACCGGAATGTGTGTACCGTCGATTGCACCAATGCAGTCTTTAAAATACGGCATGAACTTCATATTGTCAGAAAAGGTATCGGGGAGAGGAGTGTTGGCATTGGGAAGAGTGATGTATTTGGCAAGTAATTCTCCTTGATTGGAGATTCCTTTCACAAGGTGATTGATTGTCCTAGCCCAAAGAAGACATGTCAGAATAGTGATGAGAAAATTCGAAAAAAAAAAAAATCAATGATAAATGAATTACTTAGAAATAGTATCAGCCGATCTTTGAAAACGGTTCTGGAGTTTACGATTAGACAGGCCGGTAATGACTGTATAGATAAGTATTGCCAACTTCTCAGTTCCGGTGATCCAACGAGAGTCATATAAAATTCCAGTTTCTTCGAGTACTGAACGTAGTTCGAAAAAAACGTGTTTGTTCATTCCAAGATTATCATAGAAAACCGAGTTGTTTGGACTAGCAATGAGCTCATCAATCCAAGCCTGACCGCTGAGGATGGATGTAAGACGCGGAGTTTTGGTGAGATGAGGCAAGATTTGAGCTGCACAGGCCTGTACACCAGTGCTAAAGTAACAAAACACTTGAAATTGTTGGTGTTAAACAGCAAGAAGCTGTTTGAGAAACTGTAGTTTGAGCAGTTTTTGATGTTTGGCACGTTTCTCAGGTGTGAGAGATTGAAGAGAAGAGCGTGGACGGTGCTCCATGATGTTTTAAATCACGGGAATTGTGGTCTGATGATACAGAAGGGACGATGATTTTGGTCAAGTAACGATGATTTTGGTCGTTGATGACCGTGATGAAAGGATGGATGAGATTTGAAACGGATCGATCGATTTTCAAGTTTCGATCGAAAGTTGCTTTTCATTTCATCTTTACCGAACAGTCAAATGGGATGATGAATGGTCAACGATGATCATTTTGATCTTTCGTTGACCATTTTAGACGACTGTTCGGTAATCTAAAACGACAATCTCTATCCGCCCATCAAAAACTCTTTTTGATGGGCAGATTGAAATTTCGTTTTTGTGTAACGATTTTTGGGAAAATCAGCCGAACTGGCCCTAACATCTCCATACATCTTACACACTCTCTCTCTTGAACCAAAACCCACAAGTTTGTTCCCTTTTTTTGGTTGAATGATCATATGTTATTTGAAACTATTTTCCAACCAATCAATCATCAAACTAATCAATCAATTAAACCATCATCATGATCATCATATATTTCTACCTGCAAACAAACAATTAATCCATCCTCATTTAACAAAAAAGTTCTCAAGTTTCTTCCATTTTTCATAACTTTTTCATAACTTTGCATAAACCAAAAACCACTTTTTCTTTGTTATGTCTTCAAGACAAAGAAAATCCAAAGATCACAAACAACCACCCACACACACAAAGCAAAGAACTAAAAGTCTTAGAATTTAATCAACTAATAAGATTATCTTTAAAGGAAGAAGCATAAGTGGTAGCGGTAGTAGTGGGGGGATTAAAAAAGAACTTTCAAACAGTATCCTATGAAACCATTCACAAGTTTCCCAAAGGTAATCATCATCATAAGTTTCTAAGACGTCATTATTTATTTTTTAAAATTTGAAAAAAAGTTTTTTCAAAAACCAACAAAAAAGAAAGCAACAGGTTCATATAAACTCTTAAAGATCATCATAATTTCTAACAAACAAAAAAAAACATAAGTTGAACGAGGTTTTTTTTTCTTTTTCTTTGTTCTTTAGTTTTTGGTTTCATAAACTTACTATAAGAGAATCTATTCATTTAAACTTTTTTTCTTTTGTTGAGGGACGGCGGGGGAGTAGGGGGGGTTCAGGAAAACAAAAAGAAACAAATTATTTAGGATGTGAGATGCCTCTACTATTATTGTTGTTATTACCACCACCACCTCCTCCTCCTCCTCCTCTACCACCACGACCAGCTCCTCTTGGTCCTTCCATTCCACCTCTACCACCTCTAGCTCCGAAATTACCACTACCACCACCGCCACCGCCACCACCACCACCAGATCGACCACCTCGTTCACCACCACCACCACCACCACCACCACCACCGTTTCCACCACCAAATCCTCTCTTAGGTCCAGCATCAATCGGTCTACCTCTTTCCCCAGGTTGTCGTTTACTTTCAATCACAATCATAAACTCTTCACCATTGGAATTGATTGAGATCCCACCTTTACCACCTAGATTGAATGGTAATGACATTTGAATGGCTTTCTTGGCTGATTCAATCGATTGAAACTCTAAGAATCCACATGCTTTAGTTCGAATGACATCTAAATCTTTGATCGGTCCAAATCGTTTGGTTAATTGATCTTTAAGTGATTTCTCATCCAGGTTTTCATGAACACTCTTGATGAAACATGCACCAGTTGAAACTGAGTCGACTATTGAAACCAAAAAAAACAATAGATGTAGATTAGTGTACCATTCAACCGATCAAGATAATGATAAGTTAACCAACCAGGATTGGTATGTGAGGCAGCAGCAGGTCTTTGTTGAGGTGTTTGGGAAGAAGACTCGACACCAGACTGAGAGAGAGCACTAGGAGCAGTTGAAACGCCTTGAGATGCTGCAAGATGACCTTGTCCCCATGCACTCTTACCACTGGCTGCAAGACTAGCCCATGTCTTAGGAACCGAAGGAGCTGGAGCTGGTGGAGGAGTGGCCTCGACGGGTTTCGTCTGTGTTGCAACAGAAGCTGGGATTGGTGCTGATTTCGATTGTCCACTAGCTGATCGCCCGTTAGCAGAAGGAGCTTGTGAAGATGCAGATGGTTGGGCTGGGGTGGGTAGACTAGTAGTCCCGACATCTGTCTTCTCTACGTTATTTGTGTTGGCTTGGGCCAATGTAGAGGAAGGGCCAGCAGCTGGGGAAGCACTAGCGGATGGTGTTGCAGCAGCAGCAGCAGGAGGTGAGCTTTCAGAGGCCGCAACTGGCTCGATCGGAGCCTCCGGTGGTTTCACATCTACTTGATCTGGATGGAAACCATTGACTTTAGAAGGGCCAAGACTCTGAGTTCCAGCAACAGGTTCGGCTGAAGGAGTAGGTCCAGCTGAAGACGCGGCGAAAGAAGGATTGTTTTGAGCAGGTGAGGTAGAAGCGACAGGTTTAGTTTCAACTGGTGCCGCTGGTAATGGTGTAGAGGAGCTCTCGGGTTGGTATGCAGGAGGAAGAGCATCGGTATTGGACAAGATTAAGCTGTGTTCAGAACTTGGAACATCTTCTGTAACCGTCACCGGTTCAGCTTCAGGCTCATCATCACCTTCTTCAACTTCTTCTTTAATATATCTGATGAAATCCAAAACCAATTCAAAAAGATTAGAATCTGAATTCAACTAGAATCCAATCTGATCAAACTGTAAGTAAAAAAAAATCAAAAACTAAAACGTTACCTAAAGATATCATTCAAAACAAAGAATCCATTAGGTTGTTCAGCCAAAAAGAAAGTCTGAGCAAATTTACGCCAAGGACCAGCACCATTTGACATTTCACCCAAGACTTGTACAATGATCCCACCATCTGCTGATGATTGAGAATCGACATTTGATACAAAGACTTTACAATCATCAAAGTTGAGTGACATGAATTTATCGTGAATTTCCTATATGATCGAGATCGCGGTGAAGTTTAGTGATCGGGATTTCTGGAAAAGCTGTTTGAAAGGAATTTACCTGTTGACCAAAACATGGGGTTGCTTCTTCTCCTTCGGTACTATGAATCAAACTGATCAAAAGTGGACTCTTGGTTAGAGATTTGGGTTGAAAAGTTTTGTTGATGAGAAAAGAAAAGAAGTAATGCTCACGTTGATCGTTTTGTGTAAAAGCAATGTAAACGAGACGGATCTTTATTAACAAAAGTATAATACTGAGGTACAAAAGCCCATCCGATCTCTATTCGATCGAAAAAAAAACAAGATTCCAAAACGTTAATCAAGAGTTTTTGGAGATGATAAGGATCGATGGGGTTTGAGATGAGAAATTGAAGAATCAAGAATGGAAAAAGACTAACCACTAGCATTTTGAGCACTCTTTGCAACCGAACTAATATTAGCCATCTTTTTTTTTATGTTTTGAAACTGTTTTAATAATCTTCTGTTAAATTATAAAGAAAAAGATTCTTTTTTATGAAGCAGAAGAAAAGCAAAACAAATGGTATTTTTGAATCTTTTAAAAACTCTTTGAATGTTTGTTTTTTTTTTTGGTTTGGTTTGATTTTGTTTGGTTGGGTTTCTGTTGATCGAGGTTTGGATGATGGGTTTCTGATGGGTTTAGGATTTAAAGTGTAGATAAGATAATTTGATGAACTGTGTAAGAAGTAGTTAGAAAACTGAGTAAGTCGATATTGAGAATGAGAATCAAATCAGAGTGAGACTGAGACTGAGAAGATCACTTACTTTTGGATAGATGGATGGATTCTTGTTGATGATGATGATGATGATCGAAATAGATTATGTAATCAACTCTTGAAATCAAAAGTAAAAAAAAAGTGAAAAAAAATATTCAACCACTTAACCAAAAATCAAAACCAAAACATAACATAACAAAACCTTGGGGGAAAAGTAAAATTCAATTGAAATTCGAAGAAAACTCTTCACAGCCAGAACCTAACCATGAATGAGAAAGAAAATCAGTTTGGAAAACAACACTTTTATGAAACACTAAAAAACTACATTTCTCTCGACGCGTCTTTCGTCTCCCTCTCAAGATTCTCAATCAGGTTGGATTCAGTCAATTCCATGGAATCAAAATCACATCTTCTTTTCATGGTCAACTCTCAAACTAGTTACAATACCATTTAAATTCTTGATTAAATTTCTAGAAGATTGAACAAATTAATCCAAATGAAGTGGGTAATCAAAGATAAAAATACAAGATACAATGTAGCTCAGTAAGAGTGTTCAATAGATTTCACAGCATGATCATCAAATCATCCTGATGAAAACCTATTGAAATCAAACCACCTTTCATCATGGCTAATAAGAGAACCAAAGAAAAAAAACAAAAGTAAAGAAACCTAAATTGTAAAAACAAAATATATCATCTAAATCTTTAAGAAAAACGATGTATTCTGATCAAATTCGATCTTTCAAAATATCAAATCCAATAAACAAAAGCTATCGACTTGGTTTTTCTCAATTCTGGTACCATCAGTTTTATAAATCATTTAAACAAATTCACTAAAATAGTTGATTCGAAGTTCAGATTTGGCTTAGGTTGGTTTCGATCATCGCTTGGTTTGTTTTGGAGGTTTGAGTTTGAGATGGAATGAAAGATGATGAGAATGATCGGATTGGTAAAGACGTAGAATGATAAGGATGGTTTCTTGAAAGTGGTTTCTTGACTTTGGTTTTGACTTTGTTTGAATCTCAAATGGGAAAGTGATGGTGGAATATTCGAATGCAATCTTCAATTTGCTCAACGGGTGTTTCTTAGAGGGATGTCAATCGAATGTTACACGATCTTGAACATGAGTTTCACATGTTTCGATGCAACTTTTCAAACTTGAAATATGGTTTTTGACTTTGATCAGTTCATCAAACTCTTGCAATTCGGTCAGCACCTTTTAATCCAAACTTTTTACCACATCCACAAATCTCAATCACTCAAATGTCAAACATTCAATTAAACATTCCTAATAGTGATGTTACACTTCATCTTATCATCGAAATCTTTCTCAAAAACTCTTTGCCAAACTTGGTTTTGGAAACTTCATCCAAAGAGGTAAGACAAAACATATTCACAAAGAGTTTGAAAGATTGATAATTTGAATTGACTTTGAATTTTTGATTTTTTTGTTTAGCTTAGTCTTCAAGTTTTGAATGAATCGGATTCGGTTATTGGATTAAGTTCGATTTTAGAAACTTTAAATCAAAAACATTGTCCTGGTTTGATTGCTAGTAATGATGATGAAAAAAAAGTAGCAATGAGTTGGTTAAAAAGTATGGAGAGTTTTGAAATTCAAAAACCACAAGTTTTAAAAGTAAGAAACATCATTGAATAATAGGAAAGATTTTAGATGCTAATGTTGGGTTTTGAGTTGGGTTAGGAATTAGATAGTTATCTTCAATCTAGAACTTTTATGATTGGAAAAGGATTAACAGCAATCGATTTAGTTGTCTTTACTAAACTACATTCTTATATCGTAAGTTTTAAACTCTTCTCCTACCATTCATCAACCTCTTCCTAACATGGATGATTTTTGCTTTTTCGATCAAAAGAAAGGATCAGTCCAAACCGATCTTACGAACCATCCTTCGATCACTCGTCATTTCGACTTCATCCAAAACTATCCATCAGTTCAAACAGCCATCCAAACCACCACCCTCTCCAAAATCCCTATCAATGTAGAAGACGTACCAGAAATCCCAAGACCTCAAGTCCCACCCCCAATTAAAAAAGACAAAAAAGAAACCAAAGTCAATGAAAACGGATCAAAAGGATCAACGAGCGAAGTGAGCTCTAAACCTACACCCAATGTTTCTGGAGAAGGTAATCAGTCTAGTAAAAAGAAAGAAAAGGAAAAAAAGAAAGATGAGGGTAAGAAAGCGGCTGGATCGACCGCTGTGGTTGTGGAAGGACCACCGATGCCTCATATGATAGATATGAGGGTAGGTAAGATCGTTCATGGTAAGTGATTTAAGTCTCATGGAACTCAAAAACAAAAACAAAAGGTTTGTACCAAATCTAATCATTTGAATTACCTGTCTTGGATGGTTGTTTTAGTGGAAAAACATCCAGATGCAGATTCACTTTATGTGGAAAAAATCGATTTTGGTGAACCTGAACTTCGAACGGTAGTCAGTGGATTAGTCAACTATATTCCGATTGAAGAAATGAAAGATAAAGTCTTGGTAGGCATCTGTAATTTAAAACCTGCCAATATGAGAGGAGTCAAAAGTTTTGCCATGGTTTTAGCTGTAAGTTTTGAAAACCCAAATCCGAATCCAAACCAAACCACACCGAATGTGATTTGTTTTGTGTATTGAATTTTTTTTTTGGATCGATGGGTTTGGATAGGCTACTTCTAAAGATGGGAAAGATGGAAAAGGTAGTGTTGAATTGATTGAACCTCCAGTTGGTTCTTTACCTGGTGATCGAGTTTATTTTGAAGGATTTGAGAATGAAAAACCGATTGAACAATTAAATCCAAAGAAAAAACAATTTGAAATGATTCAACCAAGTTGAGTTGAATTCTTTCCCCCCCCCGAAACCCAATCCCATCCATTTTTTATAATACCATGGATTTGAACTATGAGTTTTTATGCTTATGGTTTCTTTTTGGTTTGGTTTTTCTTTTGGTTTTTTTTTGATAGATTTTACTACACTTGAAAGTAAAGAAGCTTGTTGGAAAGATCCGAATTCAAATGACAATAAAGTTTATAGAATCAGAACAGATAAAGGAATTTGTTTTTCTCCTAATTTTATTGGTGCTTCTTTATCCTGAAAAAACCAATAACTAAACATTTTTTTTGAAATTTCAAATTTAAAAAAACCAAGAATGGTTTTACAAATAATAAAAAAAGATCATTTTAAGAGATTTTGTTTAATGGATTTTGTGAATTGAAGGTTTGATTTTGGATGTTGAGGTTTCAGGTTTGATGGTTTGTTTGACACATTGGATCGAAATAAAAAAGGAAATTTAAAGAAAATATGCATTTTTACAATTGGATTCTGAGCTTTGAATGATTTATAAAATTGATCAAAGAACCTGTGGAGTTTCAAACAGACAGGTCACCGTACAACTGCATCAAATTAACTTGTGCTTCAAGCTTGTGTAAATTGCATGGATTATTGTAGCAATTGACCCATCAAGTTGGTCAACAGCACACATCCATCCATCCATCCACCTGCAGTAAACTATTGTTGTTCATCTCTTTTCAAAACTTCACTCTGAAAACTTAGTCTAGCGTCATTGAAACAATGTCTACCCCATCATCTGAAAACACAACAACAACACCAGAGACTAGCACCAAGGGTTGTGTCAACTGGAGTGAACACACACAGGAACAACTAGCTCTCTCCGGGGTTGCCACAAGCACTTGACCAGAGCACTCAAATAACTTGAAAGGGAATGCCTTCTTCAATGCTATCACGGTGCACTGCAATAGTCACTTGGTATCAAAACAATCAGCCAATCAGTGCACTGCACTGTACATATTCATTTCAAACCATCTAGAAACCAAATTCTGAGAAACTTTCATTCTCTGAGTTGGAAAACAATGAATTCACCAATCTTGAAGTTCTCTGGTACCTATGCACCTCTTTAGCACAATCCAAGATCTGGTTCATCCCCTGATACTTGGATTGTTGATGGGAATCGGATGAAGGTCAACCAAGTAGAGATGAAATATCCTTTTAAGTTCTTCACAGCTTGGCAAAAGCTTTGATACAAGCAAAAATGGGATCTTTACCTCATCAATCAATCAACCCGATCATGAAGTCAAACCGGAAAAGCTTGTCACAAATTCCCCGCCAAATTGCTCGAGTTTTATGGGCAGAATTGGTCAAGCTTTTCCGATTTGACTGTAATAAATTCAAATTCAAGATGCAGAGGTTTGAATCCAAGACGTAGAGGCTTGAATCAAAGCTCAGAGGTCTGAATCAAAGCAAAGAGACTGAATTCAAAGCCTGGAAAACAGGGCCGACACTCACGCTAAAGTTTCTTTGCTGAGAGGATGAACAATGTCATATGGGATCAAGCTGGAATGCTGTGTGTGAGGATGAAAGGATGGTTCTGAGGACAGGTGCACGATAATCAAGTGCTGTGGACTGTGGTCAGCTGTGCTTGGTCAAGTCAACTGTCAGACTCACAACTCCGGATAAACATAAGCTTGCTTGGGTTGTGAATGTGATTGCAAAAACAAATAAACTTTATTTGATAATTGACCTTGATAAGGGGCTGATTTATTATGTATATGCTTGATTCTCTGGTTTATCATCAACTTGAGAAAATTAAAGTTAAGGTGTATATATCTAATCATTCACATTCTTGCTCAAGAATTCCATTGATCGCTTCCAGTGATCTTCCCTCAATTCTCAAGTGAGTTGATATCCTGTTGGTAGGCCCTCGCCCCGGTCGATCCCCGTCCCCTAATTAGGGGACAAGGAATGATCCCCGAATTAGGGGACGGGCAATGATCCCCTTCCCCTAATTAGGTTAGGGGAACAATCCCCGTCCCCGAATTTGGAGACGGGGAATGACATCGGTATTTTTGGGGAATATCGCCCTTTCGCAAATACAAAAACGAACGATTAGACCGTTCACGGTAGACCACAAAGGAATCAAGGACCTTCAACAACGATACTTAACAAAATCTCAAGGTTATTCCAATCAATGTCGAGTCGATGGGATCAATGGAAGTTTGAAAGTAAGGTTCAATTGTGATCAGGTCTTTCATGAAGAATCCTACAAACATCTGAGCTAATCATTTTATCATCGGTTCTTTATCATTGATTCTATTTCAAGTTTTAGATTCCTTTAAACGGATCTTGATTCTTCATGTCATTCAGATGTTTGGAAATTATAATTTATAACGTACAAAAAGAGTAATTTGAAAGAGAAGTGATACTTAAAAGTTGAAACTTTTCAATTTGTTTAATTTTTGTTGTCTTTCAATGCAATGAGTGCCAATGACACCATCAAATCAGTTTGTTCAAAGTGGTTCAACTCATCCAAACAAACTAAGACTGTTGAAATAAATACACACTAAATCAATTGAAAGAATAAAGACCAAGATGTATTTTAATCAGGAATCGAGAGGATTTTTGAGAACGCTTGTCCGTCTCGAGTCTCAAGAGTCAACTCTCATCTTAAGAAGATAGAACTATTGACCCATTTTATTTTCAGTTTTAACTTTCAAGTGTGATTCCATCTTTTTCATCATCAACCTTTTCAAGATGGAAGATGTTAGTATTACTACAGATTCCTCATCCATTGGAAACTCTCAACTAGCAGTTACCTCAGGCAAACGTAGTTGGGTTTGGACCTACTTTCAAGAACTACCTCAAGAAGGAAAAGTTGAATGCAATGTTGTCCTTGATGATGACTCTGCATGTGGCAAAACTTTGAAGAAGGATTCCACAGGCAGTACAAAGAGCATGTCCAATCACTTGTGTTTAGTACACAAGATAGGTGATCCGGTTAAACGAGCCAAACGGCAAGCGATGATTGAAAATAGGAATAACAAGACCGATGATAACGTGTGTTGTTTTCCTTAATGTGTACTCAATTTTGAACTGATATGTTATTCTACAGAAACCATTGACGAGCCACAATCTCAAGACTGCAATGACCTATTTTCTATGTGATTGTGATCTTTCTTTTGAAATGATGGAGAAGAAGTCTTTTGTAGATCTTCTCAAAATCTGCAATCCTCAGACTGAGGCCCTTATAGTGAAAAAGGATGCAATTTCTTGACATTTACGCGAAGTTTTTTTATTTCATCAAGAGTTCTTACAAGAACAAGTATTGGCAAATGCAACTGGTGTTGCATATACTCTGGATGCTTGGACATCTCCAAACATGACCGCTTTCATGGCCATAACAGCTCATACAATCAATGAAAACTTTGAGAAGGTAGATGTAATACTTCGGATCCCTCATATTGAAGGTGATAATTTCTCTATAGATTTTCGAACTTTGAATAATCACTTGCTGATGTTCCTGTTTTGTAGGATCACACACAGGACAGTCCTTTGCCGATTTATTTTGCAAGACCCTCAAAACCTACAAAGGTTCAAATAACATTGTTGCCATTACAGCTGACAATGCGTCTTCAAATAGGAGTATGGCCCGAGCAATTCAGCAACAAACTGGAGGGTTGTTTGATGCAGGAAAAGATCTCCTAGGATGTGTTGCACACGTCTTGAATCTTGCAGCACAGGATGGCCTCAAATTATTCGGAACACTTGATGAAAATGAAGACAACCTTGATTCGAATCAACCGGGTCCCATGGATATAGGAAATCTAGTCACTGAACCGGACGGAGCCCAAATAGATCTTGCTTCAGTTTATAAACGTGTACATGGTCTAGCTCTTTACACTCGTGCAACTCCTCAACGTCGTGAAGGTTTCAAGAAGTTCATCAGCTTATTTCCCACCAACAATCAACCCAAAGATCCTCAAATGCAATGTCTGATTCTTGATGTTAGAACTCGATGGAACTCTACATTTGCTATGTTTGAGCGAGCTTTACTCTTAAAGTAGGTGAATTTGCTTGATTATACATAGCACAACTAAAACTCATCTTGTGCTGCTTATGATTAGGAACGCATGCAATCATTTCTGTGACACTCCTGAAGGAGAGAAATTTAAGCTTACTTCCGAAGAATGGAAATCAGTAGAGAACATGATGAAATTTCTCAAACCTTTGAGTGAGGCAACTGATAAGCTATGTGCTACTCGATATCCAACAGTCAACACAATAATACCCATGTATGTAGCGGTCATCAATAGACTTCAAGCGGTAAGTCATCATATCTCAGAGGCTTCTTATTGCCGACTCAATCATCTAACCAACTGTATCTTTCAGGTTCGTAGCACCTACGACCTGACATCACTGATTCCAGCCGCGAACAATATGATCAATAAGTTGGAGACCTACCTATCCAAAGTTCTCACCCGGCGAGCACCAATCTGTGCAACAATCCTGGATCCACGCTTTAAGCTCAACTTTTTCCAAACTCATTCCGATTCGATGTCTGGATACAATTTAACAACTGAGCAGCTCAGGTCTCATTTTGTTACTGAGGCTGAGAAGTTCAGCCCGCCGGAAGAACTGCTGAGCTCGGGTCCCCCACAACCATCAACATTTACTTCTTCGCTTGATGAGGACTTGTTTGGATCATTGACTTACAATAATCCTTCAATTCAGAATGAGATTGCTCGCTACCTCTCGGAACCCCTCGAGAAACAAGGCAGAGATGTGTTAGAGTATTGGAGAGGGAGTCAAACCACTTATCCTTGCCTCGCACGCATGGCTAGAACTTTCCTGGCGATTCCTGCAACTAGTACTCCCTCCGAACGAGTCTTCTCTCAAGGTAGAGGAATCCTTCGCTATCAGCGCTCATCATTAAAACCCAAAAATTTAGAAATGCTCCTTTGTGTAAAAGAATGGTATCGGGCATTTGGTGCATTATACATACAATGCTGATGCTATAGTCTGATTTCACCTCGATATGTTGATTGTTCAATGTTCGCTTCACAAGTAACACATTCTTGTAATCTCATTAAACCTACAGTCTTCTCAAAATCATTTCACCTGTTTTCTTACTTTACAAAATGATTGAGTACAACAATTGATAATGTTTTCTTACTTTACAAAATGATTGAGTACAACAATTGATAATGAAGGAGTGATGAAGGAGATGGTTCTACTTTGATTCGGATAGGTTCTTGATGATGAAGTTCCTCAGTTTCAATTTCAGTTTCATTTTCAGCTTCAATTTCAATTTCAATATCAGTTTCAATTTCAGTTTCAATTTCTTCTTGAGATTCATCTTGAGAATGTTTATGTTCTTCTTCTTGTGCTGGTTAATTTTGATTTGGAAATGAGGTTGAAGTAATTTGATCAGTTCTAGTTTTGATAGTTGTACTTCGAGATCTTCTTCTAAACTTTGATCGATGTGATTTGAATTCGACATTACTTCCTGAGCTCGTCATCCTTTGGGAGTCGTTCGAAGACTCTTCGGCCTACGATTTCTCAAGATTGATTCGCAGAATCCCCGGCATTCCCCGTCCCCGTCCCCGAATTTCCCCGAATTCGAGGAACAGAAACGATCCCCGAATTCGGGGACGGGGATAGGGGATCTCCGAATGAATCGGGGACGGGGCAAGGGCCTACCTGTTGGTGAATTTTGATTTCGATTTGAAGTGAATCAGCTCATATCTGCTCATATGGATATCCTTTTTTGGACTGATAAGAATTTGAAAGTTGAAATTAAGTTGATATCTTGGAACTTGTAAAGCTTAATTCTGAATTCATTCTTGAATCAAGGATGGAGATGCTTGGAGATGTGGAAGGATGTGGAGAAGAGTACCCCAGATCACCCCGCACCCTAATTTTTTTACATAGAATTGTGTACATATGTAATGTTTGAATTGAATTTTTGGTTGTTCGGTTTTTGATTTCTCATCATCACTTTCACTTTCACTAATTCTCAATTTCTTAAACCAATCAATCTCTCTTTCTCTTTCTCTCTTTCTCTTTCTCTTGACTTAATCAATCAACCATCTACTCCAATCATTCATCATTCATCATTCATCATCATGACCACCAACACTAATCAATCAAAAAAGAATCTCATTCAACTTCACCATACCATGCAATCTAATTCAAACTCATTTCAAACTCCCAGTCCTACTGACTTGACCCCAACAGCAGCCACTCATCATTCGGATCATTCAAATCTTGATTATCTAAACGTAAAACCATTCAACTCTTCAAACTTAACTATCAACACTCCACCCTCTCATTCTTCTCTTTTACAATTCGGTAAGTCTCCTTTTGATTCAATTCATTCATTCTCTTCTCATTCTCACTGACGCGCATCTCTGATACAATTTCATTATAGATTCACAACCCAATACTCCTTCAACTGAACTATCTTTTCATCATCAACATTCCAGTAGTCCAACTCCTGCTCCTACTAGAAACAAACTTAATTCAATCAACTTACATCAACATTCAGGAACATCAACTCCAGCTCCAAGTCGAGAAAAACCTAATTCAATCCATCAACATTCATCATCTGATACTTCTCCTTCATCACCACCTTCATGGCCAGAAGCATCGGTTCAACCTGATCATCAACTCACCATCACTCTCTTTAGTGCTCGTCAACTTCAAATACCTCCTCAGCGTGCCACTCTCCTTCGTCCTTATGCTGTACTCGAATTTGATCAGACTGAATCTGTTACGGATGATGCTTCAGGCGAATCTCCAAATGATTCAGTTAAGAAACCACCCAAGTGGCGTGGCTTCAAACGTGCTGTGGATGGTTACAAGAGTCCGATTCACACGGTTACGACTCGTCGACCTGATTTTTCGTCAACCACTTCGTATGATGGTTCAACTATGAATCGACTGTATGCTACTTCAACAAGCAGATCGAGAACACCCTCTTCGACAGCTGAAGAACCAGTTTGGAATCATACTGCTACTTTTGACGTTTTAGAACCAAGTCCATCTGTTTATATCTCGGTATACGATCGAGCTGCATCGGATTCAGATTTAGCTGATGAAGGTTTCTTAGGTGGTACGGTGATCGGATTAGAAACAGGTTCAATGGTACCACAAGATGGAAATCGGGTCGTACTAGATGAATGGGTAGATCTCTTTGATGCTGCAGCGGAAAAATGTTGTGGTGCGGTAAAGGTTCGAATCGAATTTGGTCGTACACCTGTTGAACAGAGAGATGCGAGAGTAGGACTTGAACATTTTGAAGTGATTAAATTGATTGGAGAAGGATCTTATGGTCAAGTTTGTTGAGTCATCCTTCTCTTCTACTTTTCTCATCATAAAATAGTCACACGAATTCTTATCTCTTGTGGATTTTCTCTCTCTCTCTCCTACAGTTCGGGTGCGTAAAAAGGATACTAAAAGGGTTTATGCGATGAAAGTGTTGGATAAACAAAGGATTTTGAAAGACGGGAAACAAACCTTACAACATGTTTTGGCTGAACGTCAAATCTTGATCAAAACTAGATCATCCCCCTTCTTAGTCGGATTAAAATTCTCTTTTCAAACTTCAGATGATTTACATTTAGTCATGGATTTAAAATCAGGTGGTGAATTGATGTCCTATATGCAAAGATATGGTGGAAGGTTTCCTGAACCATGGGTATGTGTGGTTTCTCTTAATTATCATTGATTTTTTTTAACTTTTCAGATCTTGAAACTTATGATTGGAAGCTTTTTTTCTTCTTGGAAACAGGTTGTGTTCTATACTGCAGAAATTTTATCTGGTTTAAGCTTTTTGCATTCGATGGATATCATTTATCGAGACTTGAAAGTAAGTAGTCGTATTTCAATTCCAGTGTGATTTGTATTGACTATTCACACATCTTTCGATGGGTATTTCTAGCCTGAAAATTGTTTGTTGGATGCAACTGGACATGTTGCACTTTGTGATTTTGGTCTAAGTAAAATGGATATGAAAGCCGATTCTACTACTCGTACTTTTTGTGGTACAACTGAGTATATTGCACCTGAAATCTTGGTTCGTCCTTCTTCTCTCTTTCTCACAAAGGTCTAACTGATTGGGGTTTACTTGATTTGTAGATGGAAAATGGGTATACTAGAGCTGTAGATTTTTGGGCACTTGGTGTTCTTATCTTTGAAGTAAGTTTTCTTCACTATCATTCACTGTTTTCTTGAACTTATGGGTTTCTTTCACACTTTAGATGACGGTGGGATGGACACCTTTCTTTAGTGAGGATCGGGTGACAAAATATAGGTAAGCCCTTTGATCAAATTTAGAGTTGTGAAATGTGCTGATATGGGGAAATGTGATTTGATTTTTTTGAATGATGAAGTTTAATTCTTGAATCTGATATCTCGGCCAAGATTCCAAAACGTGGGGTGGAACAGACGACAAGAGACATCATCTTACATGTAAGTGTACTAGCAGTTTTTCATTTTTAGTTCTATCACAACTCATCTTTTCTTGAATTCATTTCTTTACTCATAGCTTTTAGAAAGAGATCCAACCAAAAGATTAGGAAGTATCTTAGGATCAGAAGAAATCAAAACACATTCGTTTTTCAAAACTATCGAATGGACCAACCTACTGAACAGAAGGTTAAGACCACCATTTAGACCACGAGTGGAATCAGATGCAGATGTGACCGATAAAAGAGTCTATGGACTTTCATCATTTAATGTAATACCTTCTCGTAGAAGTTCGGTAGATAATTTGAATAGCCATCATCAAACTAATCGATCAAGTGAAGCGTTTAGGAACTTTACATTTTCTAGAAACACTTCGGGATCTTCTTTGGTTAGATTAGGATTTGAAGATGAATTAGATGAACAGAATTGGGAAAGAGAATCGTTTAGAGAGAATGGATTTCGTCATGATGATGATGAACTTCTTGATCGTGGGCATGATCGGTTTGGAAGGATTGATGGAAGAGAAAGAGAACTTGGGAGTAAAGATCGATACAGGGTTTCGAGAGTTGGGATGGCGTATGATCGTAGGTCTTCGGAAGTTGGGTATTTAACTTGAATCATAACTTTTCTTTTACTTGCAATAAAAGTTTTTTTTTGTTTTCTTTTTGATTTTGTAACACCTTGTTTCGTTTTTGTGTGGTTTTGTGTGATTCTGTGATTTTTGTGTTTGTGATATTTGTGATTTTTGTGTTTGTGATTTGTGTGATTTGTGTGATTTTTGTGATTTTTGTGATTTTTGTGATTATGTATGTTTTTGAATTTTGTTTTTTTTGATGGACTTTTTACGTAGAATTATTGATCTTGCAAGTTTTTTGGTTTTTGTTTTGTTAGAATGATTGATTCTTCCTTTGAATAAAAAGAAATCGTATTTAGATTGAAGCATTATATAATATGATAACAATATCAATATATAGTATATAGTATATATAATGCATATAGATGTGTTTGTTTTTTTGGTTTTGAAAGAGTTTGTTTGTAGATGGTTTTTTCTTTTCTTTCTTTGGTTTATAGTACTTGGTTGAAAGAGGTTTTCTTCTTTTTTTATATGCATAGTACAGTCGATCCAGAATAGCTTGATAAAATGAAATTTATTTTTTTTAATTTCACAGCAATACAGCCCAATACAGGCATTCTTATAAGCATAGCCTACAGTTGAGATAGGTGATTCGAGGTTCAACCTCGGGTTCACCCTTATCTCAACTTCCTCGATAACAACCATTCCTTATCGTTGAATCATTCGTCCATCAATTAGTCCATTATCTTTCTCATATCCGTTATGCCATATGTCAAATACTCCCCTCAGTTGAAGGTTATCGCTCTCAATAAGTTCATATCAGGTCAACCGGTTGCCTCCATCAACAATGATCTCCTCACTTCGATCTCAGCGCAAACCTTCACACGTTGGAAAGAACTCTACGACCTTACTCATGCGGTCATCAGAGATCCGAATTCATATGATAAACAAGGACGTCCGACTATTTATTCCGATCAAGACCGACAGTTCATGCTTGAACTTATCGAAGCCGATCCGTGCATGTTCCTGGACGAGGTCCAGGAAGCGATGTATGATCATACCGATCTACTCGCTTGTTGACAAACTATTGCCAACGACCTCAAGGAGCGACTTTACCTCACCGTTCACAAGGTTGCGAAGGTTGATAGCAACCAATCAACCGAGCTACGAGCAGCATACTCGGGTCAAGTTGCCCATCTTCCACCAGAGTGTCTGGTCTTCTTAGGTAAGCAGTTCATTATTCCAACACTTCTATCTTCTTCAATACTTGATCTGATTATCCTTTCATCCATCATGAAGATGAGACCGGGCTTCGACCACAGGATGTCGAACGAAACCACGTTAGGTCCAAGAAAGGTGAAAGACCCAAGTCTTTGAAGCGTACGAGGGCGGGGAATCACTATACTGTGCTGGCTGCCATCTGTGAATTGGGCTTACTCGCAGTCAACGCCAAGGTCAATGGCTATTGTCGAGATGAGTTCCAGGCCTTTTTGAAACACATCTTGGTAAGTGACTGTTTCTATCAAAATCGATCATGAATAATGAGCTGATGCGCTCAATTCTATTCAAGCTCCCTGTCATGGGTCGCTTCCCAAATCGAAACTCGGTTTTGGTGATGGATAACGCAACTATCCATCGCCGTGGTGGAATACTAGCGTTGTGCGAGGCAGTTGGGGTATTATTGGTCTATCTTTCACCTTGCTCTCCTGACTTCAACCCAATCGAGCGCGTATTCAAGGTATTCAAGGATGCCCTTCGTCGGAACGGGATTTTTGCTGAGGCTATCGATAAGTTGAAATGTTTGAAAAGAGTAATGAGCCAAGTTTGTACCAGCTATTTCATTGTCAATCTTTACAAGACTGGTGGTTACAGACCTAAAGATGATGACAATGAGTTTTAAAAAAAATGTTGTTGTACTGCTTAAATCGAGATATTGAAAATATGCAAAGAAAGATATTGTCTTATTAGAATCGCCAGTGAAATTGACTGTAAAATTGTGGAGGTGAATCGAATTGATGGAACACTCAAGGAAATGAGATTCTTCTATCTCATGTTTTGAGAAACATGAGATAGATTATAAGATATTTTGAGAAACGTAAAACAAGAAAAATCCCATGATTGGTTTGATCTTGATTTGAGTGAGAGGCATAAGGATTACCTTTGCAGAAATCCACTCTCATTTGGAATCTCGATCACACTTGGAGCTTTTTTTTAAAATCCACTCTCATTTGGAATCTCAATCACACTTGGAGCTTTGTTTTTTACTAAACAACAGTTTGATTACAGCATATTTCTTTCACAACAAACAACAATAATAGATAGCGAGTCATTTTGCTATAGTATACTGTGGCTACAGCATAAAAATGTTTCTCTTTAACACAAGGAGGCCAGTACATGTTTTTTTTGATTGGAGGTGGGATGTGAGGTTTAGAAAGTAGGATTAGCTTCATCCTTGAGATGCTGTCGATATGATATGGCATTTTCATGGAGTCGGACACGTTGTCCAAAGCCAAACCCAAAACCTGCCATCACTGCGCAGCTAAGCTCAGAGGATAGAAACATCTCAAAATTGACGATGTTGTATTTCTTGAGCAAATCGCGAGTTTCTTGATTGTCCTTCTCAATCGAACAATAGTCAAGGTAACAGTCAAAGTGAGGGAGTGGCCTTGGGGCTGGGGAATCTGATCGGGGTGTAGACTTGTGGTGTGAGACTATTGGGACTTGAGAGGTTGACTGAACAGAGCTGGCGGTTGAAGCCTTTCTGGAATGTAACTTGCTGATCGGCAACCATCGAAACTCGGGTCCGGTAGGTGGTCTCATTAAGGTGACTCCAGGCTTATGAATGGCCTAAATTTAAATGATCAACGCACATTAATCAGTGTCAGTATCTTGAAAGAACAATTTTTAGGGGTAGAAAGTGACTTACAAGGAGTTCTGCCCATATGTCCATCGCCAAATGCGAGAGATGCATTGCCTCGTTGGTGTTGGCTGGGTTGATAATACCCATACACTCTTTACCTCCAATTGAAACACAGCCATACATCGTCATTAGAGTCACTCGAAGGGCCTGAACATCCGGTTCAACGTGTATAGCCTGTTTGAGAAGATTGATAAGAATCAATTGAAACATTGAAAAAATCAAAAAAAACTTACGCCATCTCCATCTCATCGACTTGATCATTGTTCAACACATTTGGAAGTTGGTGTTGCAACGCCCGATTAAAATCCACTGTCTGTTCAATTGATTTAAACAAAATCAATACCAAATTGAGAATGAGAAGAATAAGAAAGACGAAAAGGGCTTACTTTGGAATCGTTTTTGGCGGTTTTCTTTGGGTTGTCCATGAAGAGACTGAAGCCAACCTCCTTCCCCTTCTTCAAGATGATCATGGCTTGGAACTCCTTCAAAATATCCTCGGATGAAATTTTTGGCATTGCAGTCTTAGAGCATCTTCTATCGTCTCGGTAAAGGGCTTCGGTACGGTAAATTTTACCGTACCAAGGGTCAAAATCCCCAATCGTGTCAAAAACACACATCGGTAGCTACAGAATCGGTCAAAATTCTGTGCAAATTTACTGGACCTCTACCAATTCTGCAGAGGTCTGTATCTGCAAATGTGCTCGACTTCTCCCCTCTGTCCCACCACATACACCGGTATCTAGGTACATCACAATACCTATCACATCTTGTACAATTCTTGATCTTTTCAGATCAGTCATTTTGATACACTGTTTGGTTTTAAAAAAGTCATCTTCAAAGCAATCAGTTTCAGATCGATCGTTTCCATATTGATTGTTATCAACTCATCCGTCTTGTTTTCAACCCGATTGTTCAGAAACCAATCTTCTTGTTTTCAAATCGATTGTTATCAAATCAATCGGCCGATTTCAAAGTAATTGTTCTGAAATCACTCATTATTAGATCAATTGTTTTGTTTTCAAGCTGTTTGTTCTTGAAATGATTGTTTTCTGATAGAACATCCTCCAATCATAAGTTTTTGAAACCTCAAGTATGAGATTTGCAGTTTTTTGTGAATGTACGATAGTGGGAACAAGGCATTTCTGTACCGTACGGACTGTACTTTGTCCGAAATAATGCAACGATAGTGGATTTCTACTGTTCTGTATCTGATGATACTGTACCGAGTGAGTATGTACCGAAAATTTACTGTAAATTTACTCAAACGATAGGAGATGCTCTTACCAAAGATGCCACCAGTAGTCACGTAACCCTTAAGTATCACTCTTCCTTCACTGTCAGCTACCCTCAACATCTTGCCACATCCCTTCTTGTGGCTGTCGCACGCATCGAAAAGAGACGACTTGACCTGCCCAAGTGATTGTCCATCGACTTGGATCATGATGTCCAAAGGGGTCTTGACCGGGATGCCATATTCGATGTACGAGATGGGCACACCGGATCGTTTGTCGGCGTCAGTGAGGGGATTAGCAAGGAAAAGGTTGAAGTAGAACTTGGCCGGGATTGGTTTGCGCTCCACGGGTTCGACTTGGTGATCAGCTTCTCCAGGGCCTGGGCTTGGTGATTGAGTTAGATCCACATATCGATGTGGATCTAATGATAAAGAGATCAGTTGTTTTCTTTTCAGTAGCTTCTGATAGATAAGGTAAAAGCTTACTTTCAGCAACTCGATTTCTGGCCTCTTGAACGCCAAAGAGAGGGTCCCGATGGACATCTAAATCGTGTTGATGTTCTCCAACAGCCGCCATAGGCATTCCAAAGCCTTGGTGGGCTATTGGAAGAAGTATTGGTGCGATACCAGCATCAACATTGATTTTTACAAATCAATCGAAGGTCAGTTGATATTGAAATGAGAAGGAAGTGAGATTTAAAAAAAAGAACTCACCGGGACGAAATTGGAAAGGGCAAGGAAATTCCTGGAAGCCTGGCTCGGCGAAGGGATCGATGTGGACTAAATCGGTGTTGAGGTATTGGCGTCTGCCGTATTGACGGTCCTCCCAATGATGACCGGGTCTGAAAACCAAACAGAAGCTGATCAGACTTGAAGACGATGAAAGAGAAAAAAAGAAAAGGAACTCACTTGTCAAAATAACAAGGAGTCCCAGTCCTGCCGGGATCAGGACTAAGGCCTTCTGGCCCAGCCTGACGGGCTCGGTGTCGCGCACTACAAATAAGATGGTCAGTAACAAGTATCGAAAGAAGGAAACGGTTCAAAATACTCACAAATCTTTCTTTCTGGCCTCTTCTTCCTCAGCAAGTTGTTTCTTTGTTTTTCTGGTGGGCATGATGGTATACTGGTGGTTTGGAATAGGTATTGGAAGGTATCGATGGGAAACAAGAGGTATTGGAAGGTATCGATGGGAAAGAGGTGGTGGGATCAAGGGTAAAGAGGTGAAACGGTAAGCAGCCCAAATTCAATCAAGGGTTTCTCGACTGTAGGCTACATATGCTTATAAGAATGCCTGTATTGGGCTGTATTGCTGTGAAATTAAAAAAAAAAATCATTTTATCAAGCTATTCTGGATCGACTGTATATAGTACAACATTTGATTTGTGAAAGAAATATAAAGCTTTTTTTTATCATTCAGCATTCTGGTCTCCTTTTTGATCACAACAGCAAGATTCTTTGAATTTTTGGGTGTGAACTGATACATGGTTTCAAAAGATATGGATATCCTATGTCTTCCCTACAATGATTGTTCATTTTGATTAACTTGGCAGTTGGGGGTTAGGGGTTAGGGGTTAGGGTTTAAAGGGCTTGTAATCTTTAACTTTTCATACAAACAAAAGTTGAAAGATTGAACTGAAACTGAGATTGTATTAGATCACTACACCACAAGGACACACAGATGTCCTAGGCAACCAGGTTTTTGCAGGGGAAGGGGTATCCTGACAAAACCAATTCAAGGCGCCTGGATCAGAATTGGAATTTGGGACATCCCATGGAATTTCAAGGGTGTTCCTATTTAAATGTATGCCCAGCCAGGAATCCTGAGTATGTGCCACAGACTGTGACGTCTGTGTGCACTGACATCCAGGGGACAGCTCAAACGGGGGTGCAGATGGAAGCATATGATTTTGGACAATCCTGATGCCCTTCTGCTCAAAAGTGTCTTTGTGTTGTAAGAGAATCTACTATCATCATAAGAGTGTTTTATTGTAAGTTTTGCCTTCCTGACCTCAACATTTAATCATACATGTAAGTTGAACAACTAAATTGGTAAACACATGAAATCCACTATGAGCTGCTACTTTACTGTCTGGTTTACCAAAGACGATCTGGTCTTGGAACAAGCTACAGCTAATGGCAAAATCACTGATCAAAGTATTGGATCTTACCCAACTCATGCAACTCATTCATCACTAATGACTGCTCTTGTGACTAGACAGATTGATGCCTGTTGACTACAGGTTTCATATGGGGTAGGTGATTTTTACACAGACTCGTTTACACCGGATCATTCTGTGTAAAACCGAGTCGGTGTAAAATTCCAAAAGGTGGTTGGGTTCTTAGAATTTTACACCTCTTTCAATTTTTTTTGTCTGTGTTAAAAAAACAGTGTAAAAAAACAGTGTAAAATTCTTGTGGCCGGTGGCGAGATTGAATTTTACACAGAATTTGTTACACATGGCACGGCTGTGTAAAAAAAGTCAGTGTAATAATCACGGGCCCCGACCCGAAGTGTATTTTTACACCGAGCCGGCTACACTAAATTGCCATGTGTAAGATCTGGTTGGTGCAAAAATCCCATTCTGCTGAGCTCACCTTCAATTTTACACCGATGTTTTACACCACATCTGACCGACACTTCAACGCACAAACTTCAGATGATGGAATGCCAAACGGACACCACACAACCCAAACATCAGACGTATATACCTGATGTTTGGCAAGGTATCAAAGGCATGCAAAAGCCTTTCGAAAAAAACAAAATGCCGCCCTTTCACCATTCCCACATTCCCACATATCCACATATCCATGGAGTGGAGGCCCACGTGATATGATTACGGTTCTGATCATATGAACAGAATCAATCCGGATTGTAAATAGGAATTCCAACCACTTTTGGATTGCACGACGAACATTTCAAAGACTTCTCGCTTTTCTTGACAACCGTTTCTTGGTTTTGACAACCTTTAGTTCCTAGTCTCTTTTGATCTTGACTTGAAGCATCTCTTGATGACGCTTTTGTCCCTTCCTATTGGTTACATTTAAAGCATTCCTTGACGCTTTTGTACTTTTGAATTAAGGCTTTTGTACTTTCAACTTGGTTTCTATCACTTCCACCATGGGGCAGACATTCTCCATTTCATCGGCCGCTCCCTTGGAAAATACGGGAGAGGGAGAAGAGGACTTGTGCCCATATGTGTCTTCGCATCATACCTCAGAAGCTATTCACGATATCACTTTGGAAAATCTGTTCACTACCACTCCTAGCTCTCCATTTACCATTATTTCGACTTCAGACTGCTCTGAATCTTCTTTGGATCCCTTACAATCAAGTTCCTTAGAAACTACTCCATTAAAATCTAGTCGTAGTTGATATCATAAAGATCCACGCGTAATCACAATGTCAGCCAAATCTGAACTAGTCACCAATATCCAAGATGTTTTCGAAGACGTCAACAACATATCTCATGTTAGTGAAACTACTGACGATGAAGACGTTGGGCCAGTCAAAACCCGGCAATTGCAGCTTCCCCTCAACAAACGGAAGTTCACCACATGGATTGATGAAGGCAGTGAGCTCGACGAACAGGGATATCCCATATATCCTAACGGCGAAACGATGTTTGTGAAGAATGCCGAGGATCAAATCACTAACTTTAAAAAGGGGATTGCAACCATTGCGTGGACTCACACAATGCGGACTGAACACAACAATGAGTGGACTATTAGACGTTATTACTGCCTTGGGATTTTGATTTGCTCTGAGAAAGGCTTCCAACTGGCGGGATCGCCTCCCACCGGGCACAAGGGAATAGAGAAATATCTCGCAAAGTACGTCATCTCAAACTTATCATCATATGACAAATAACTAAGTTGATTCTGTTGGTTATTGGGTAGGTTTCCCAATTGCACTGTTGAAAATGTGTGAGTGCTTTGAAATAGCTCTAACACCTGTGATAAGAAACTGATAAAGATGCAA